AGTTGAAGCTTTCATACACGTCCAATCGCAGGGCTGTTTACAAACGGAAAACGGAGAGACTGTTCGGGAGAGCTCGTGAAAACTCGACGATAAGGTACCTGACCGCCCCTAAAATTTTCTCAACGGATTTAGACGATTCACAAAAATGATCAATTTAAGAAATAAAACGGCGGATTTCCGCGGATCCGCGGAAAATTGCCATGTATGTATCTTGCATTTGGTTGCCATGTGAGCTCAAACTTTGAGAGTTGGAAGGGGCATGTTGTGGTTCTGCCATTGTCAGAGGATCATAATTTTCGCTTTTGATACCATTACAGGGCTCTTAAGGTTTAAGGTCAAATATTGTTATAATATGCAAAAAACCTCATGTTTTACTAAGTCCATGCTCAATGAGAATACACACCTTAATTAACATGGTCGGTCAATTGAATTTATTTTTCATCTTTCATCTTAATGCCAACTTTCGTAATCTTGACACAGGGAAAATCCAGTTGGATCGCCATTCCATGATGGCTGACTTCCAAGTTGTTCTAAATCTAAAACAACTGACCCCATGGGAAATAATGTACATTGTGAAATGTAAAAAATACGCAATTGGCTTGTTGGCTAGCATCTATGGTCATTGCCATGCTAGTCAGTAGCCACTATTGCTTTTAGCTACATGCTATTTACAACAGGAAAATACATTTTGGTATATAATTCATATTTAATCCATTTAACGGATCATATTGTACTATTTTCGATGTTGCAATAAGTTGTGGTATAACCTTCACCTTCACAATTTTTAGTTGCCGTACCCGGTAGCTTTCTGTGGTGGCATCAGAAAACCCCCCAAAAAACACAAACCGTCTACTTAGGAGGAAGCATTCTACCTGCAGCAGATGACGGCCTTGCAGGACAGGGCGAGGTCCAGGAAGTACTGTCGCACTCCAAAGGTGAGCGCATATTTGAGCGTCTTCCCATCAATGATGAGAGCAAAGTCATTTTCCTTATAGAGGGCATCTCCCAGCATCCCGCAATGGTGGCTGAGGGTCTCCCTTGTTCTCTGCCAGAGAGGAAATCATTGGCTGGACTTGGAATTACCGCAGTGAAACGTCCACAGTCTGTATTATTTCTAGCTTGATGGATTCTCAATCATCCTTTTTTAATTGTTTGTTTAATGGGTTTCACCCAGTAAATCACGTTGGTATGAAATGCGTCTGTCTCATTTGCAGACAGATGTTAATAACAGCACAAAGCAGGAATAGCAATTGTTAACAGATGCCAAAGTACTGTAATATTATTATAAGAGTGTCATTCCTAATCCTGGCTACATTACAACTCCTACAGATAAAAGGGTGCTCAGGTTTATCTAGTAAATTGCCGTGTGTAGGTGGAGAAAAGAAACACATGTACAAACACAATGCATAACATTTGGTGATTAATAAAATGCTCAGATCAAACGGAGGAATTTGAATGATTCCAATCTTTTTTGAGACTTAGCCACATTTCGAAGTTTACCCAAAGACACAATTTTGGGGGAAGAGGGTAAAATATTGTTTCTGCTTGTTCTAATGTTTTCTTTACATTGCAATCCAAAAGGATGAAAAGCAGAGAAAATTCGATGATGGACGAGCGAACACGGTCAGAGTCCAACTGCGCGAACCTATGCTGTAATTTACGGCACCGCAAATATTTCGTGAAACAACACAAAAGACCTCCACAGTAATATTTATTATTAAGGTATAATTCTTTGCAATGCCACCAGGAGGTATTTGAAGACTTGTTAATTAATGAGTGGTTCCTTTTTTTACAATCAGGAATTCTAACTGCATACACAGTAGAAAGAGTGATGATGATGAGCGTTGGTGAACGTGGGACGAACTAAAAGATTTACTGTCCTGACTGGAAGGAAGCATATGGACTGGAGAGCAGGGCTCCTGAGATCATCTCTGTCTTCCACCATCTTACTCCCAGATGGTGGAGCACTTGGGAACTTTTGCTGAAAGGTTGAACCTCTAAGCTCGAATACAATCCGTTCAGGATTTTAAAGCAACTTTTGCCAAAGGAAACAATGAAAATGGTATCTGTTCCAGGGAGTCACCATCATTAAACCATCAGTAACTGTAAAGAGGAATGCTTTGAGTAATGTGAACATTCTTCATTGTCATACAAGTATCATCTAGTGATAAAACTATGGATGAGTATTTGACTTCATTTGCTTGAAATCTAATGGGGAATTTATTGTTCAAGTCATTATTTCATGTTATGGGTACCTTTAAACCACGAACTGACCTCATTTATTGACCCAAAAAGTTGAGATTTTCAAATGAGCCTCCTATTCATTGTACAGGGTTTTTCATAAGTCTATGTCACTTTACAAAAACTCCTCGGTTAGGAACTGGCAAGGGCAGCAAGATAACTTTTTTTCGCTTGAAAGGTCATGCGTGATGGCGGTTCAACTCTCTCAGTTGAATTTAGATGTTAAGTAAAGTGTAACTGAAATTAGGTCTTCTATGATTTGCTGAATTATTGTGCAACGGTAGTTGAAACATATTTGCACACACCGCAAATAAATGCACGCATAAAATACTGTCCGTACTGTAGTGTCAATGTGGTAGATATAGGAAGGGGCCTTTAAGAGGCGGGGTCTGTGGGGCGTGGGTGCGGCATCAGAGAGACTGCATGTGAGTGTCCGGAGGTGAGCGGCGGCCTCATAGTGGCGCTCACTGTGTGTGTTTTACTGTTCTCGCAGGGTTCAATGAACGGCCGAAAAGTGAATCGGCAACTCGGGCGCTCCTTTCCCACCTGGGAGGGCAAAATACTTCTAAGTACAGTGGTACTTTGACTTATGAGTTTACAAGCAACTGCGACACAGCAGGGGAACACTATACTGTATGTCCTCATGCAAAGATGACGGACATTAACAGGAACCTGGTGGGTGGGTGTGAGGGGTCCAGCCCGTGACAAGGTCCAATGTGTCAAAAGCGGCCATGCAGGACCACGGGGAGAGCACAGCAATGGCTTGGCATAACAACGCTCTGAAACCTCAGCTGAAAGGAAATATTTGGACAACAGGGCTTTGCGTTTCAGCAGATACACAGCGAGAGAGGGAGAGATGATGGATTAGGAGAAAAGAGAGAAAGAGGACACAAACAGAGAGCAGCTGTGCACATGTGAACCTTCTGTGCAAAACAGCCCAAAATCAGACATGTCATTTGTCATACTGGATCTGCATGGGGAACAGAACTTTGTCTACATTGTTAGTGCACTTAAAGTTCTACCTCCATTTTGGGTAGAATCCAGTCATCACATACGGTGATGGACACTCAAGCAGAGCAGCCATTTCCCGCCCCCATTAAATTACAACGTGGAGTTCCAACGCTAATTCTACATTTCTCCTTCTAAAGACCTTTTGTCATGACTATAATGAGCCATTTAGCCTATGTGAATCGCAAGTGTGTGGTTTTGGGAACGGCCATTCAGAGCCTCCCGTAAAGACTGCGCTCTATTGTTGATACAAGCAACTCGTAATGTGGAATCTGGATGTTTGCAGAGATGTAAAGTCATCAGCTGCCTAAGACAGGGGACTCACTCCACAATGGGGTTAATCCTGTTCAAATAGGACATGTAGACAGGCAGCTACAGTGAATGTTGATTTTCAACATTGCACCACGGTCACTTCTCCAAAGACGATCTTTTTGCAAAATGTTGTGCAAAAATTCTGCCCTGTAATGAGTAATAACATGATTTTTTTTCTCTTTTTTTGAAGAGCTGAATCCTGAAAAGTTTAAAAACGTGGACATACGAAAGCATTGAGGGAGAAATATGATAATTTTGTCTGAATTAATGAAGAAATATATGATTGAGAACAATTTAAAATCTCTTGTGTTGTAAAATAGATTATAGTACACTTTATGCATCTCAATGGCTGGGAAGCCATTTAATTTTTTTGTGGCCAGTTTTAAGAAAAGTACAGTCCATCCACCATTTTTGTGGAATGTGAAAACCCACATGCATTGTGTCAAGATGTTTATTTTCTCATTAGTGATGAGATGGAAACATAAGAATATACCTAATCTCAATAAGTGCTGCAATGGTTTCCAAAACAATTTCACAGACTTGGAAATGACGTTTGTATTTTAATATTCTCAAATTATAAGAGTGAGGAAATATTGCAAATTTGAATGTTTCTAAGTATTTTATAATAAAGGCTGTAAAATAATAATCTTTTAATCTAAGTGCTTTGAAATTACAACACACATTTTTAGATCAGCAGGTGTGGCCATTTTATAACATTTGTCAGTCGCTAATTTTCATCAGAAATGCACATCAGGTTTTTGAACATTTTTCATTTTTTTGTTGTTTTTAAGTTTGACCTGTAAAAGCTTGAAAATACGGATTTTACCATCCATTATAATTTATGGCTATGATGTTTCAGAAAATCATTCTTCCTGTTGCTGAACGTCACCATTCATAAATTTTCTTAATTATATCACTATATTACATACAGTATTGTTGTTATTATGATGATGATGATTATTAGTGTTAATATTAGGAAAACCTGATGTGCTGGAGAAAAAAAACAAGGGCAGAATCAGCACAAAAAAAAAAAATCTACAAGTTCACTTGCATCTCTGATTAAAAACATTTGTAAAAGGAATTGGAGGATTCATTCAAATACAAAGCAATGACACGAAACAATCGGTAATCCCTAATATGGCTATTGATTGTGGAACTTTTTGTCCCATTATTTTTGTATGGGCAAGCCACTTCAAATGATTGAGAATTTGCATTGAAAGTGACCCTACATTGAATAGCAGTGTTTCACTTGAGAAATTTCAGACACTGCGAGCTGATGCAGCACAGGAGGGTCGAAAATGTTGACAAGCATGTGTAAACCAGCGAGGAGGGAAGACATGCTCCAATTACTCTCTTGTGCAGCACATGGCCGCCGTGACTGAGTAGCCGTTTCGTCTGGCCCGTGCGTACGGCACGGTGCGGACGCTTTCCGCCTTTTTGCGTTGTTAACAAAGTGCCTTATGTAAGCATCTGCTCAACCGCAACAGAATGGTAGTTGACATTTCAAAGCGTCGGTCTGCGCACTTTATGAATCCTCCGACCCCGAATTTTTGACTTCAACTCCATTTATCACGCTTAACAAATAGCTGACAGGATGAAGGCAGTCTGTCATCACCCCTCAACACCCGCCCGCCTTCCTTTACACCCCTCTTCGTGCTATTTTTTCCCCCCCCTTAACAAAATGACCAAGTTACATTTCATCTTGGTCTGTGGCCCTTTTCCAGATTTGCACTGTGCTGTCTCATAACCGACAGACAAGGCTCTCCTGCCGGGGGTTAACAGACTTCTCTGCGGGGTGTCTTACACACGTATAAATAGATTTAGAATGTGTGCCTGCCGTCAATGGGGTGGTGCGCTCCCTGTGGGTACATTTGCAAACCTAGAGCCTTTACTTCTAAATAGAGGACTGGCAAAGACAGCAGACTATCCAGCAACAAAGGAGTGGCTGTATTTCATACAAATTCATTAATTAAACACATCCTAAAGGCTGGGTTTCTCAACATTAACATCAACAACACACACATACAGTACATATACACATACATACACACATTTTATATATATATATATATATATATATAGTCAAACCTCGGTTTTCAACCATAATCCGTTCCAGAAGGCTGTTCGAAAACCGATTTGTTCGAAAACCAAAACCATGTTTCCCATTATAATCAATGGGAAACATGGTGCAACATGGACTTTTTTTTTGTGTCTGTAAAAATGCTTGTTTGACTTGCCATTAGCCTCCAGTTTCATCTTTTTTAACTGCCCATTCTCTCAGATTTGTGGCTTGTCCATATGCAATTCAGCGCAATTCTAGTTAAACGGCTTTTCATGTGACCACATTATATTTAGTGATTTATTACGGATCTAAAAATTGGATGTTTGGTTCGTCGATTATATAATTCAATTACATTGTTCATTTTTACCCTTTTGGGTCTACAACAACGAGCAGTACTTACATCAAGTGTGTCCTCATTTATCACTAGCATGCCCATATTCTTCGTCAGAAGTTTGCAGGAATGTCCTATGGGGGAAAAAGTACAAAAAGTTATCACACGTCGTAAAATAAACCAAAGTATTGTCCATAATTAACCATCTTGTCATAGCGACAGCCATTAAAAATCGGACTCAAATGTTCTCATTTGATTCATGTGGTCAGTAAGTGTGCCCACAAAAAAAAAAAAGCACAAAATGTTACAATCGAGTAATAGTCACACTTGCGGAATGCAACTTCACCACATTTTTAAGGATTCCAGTTGAGATGTAGCCACTCTGAGTTGGCAACTCGGTACATGACTCATGAGTTTGCTTTATAAGGGCTCGTCATCTTCCTGTTTTAATAGGGACTCACAACTTTGGGGTAACCGAATATGACTCTCTGGAGAGCCCTCCGAGCTGCTGGCTGGGACAGATATTTGGGGTCACGAGTCAGGTAGGGGAATGAACATCACGTACAAAAGGCAGAAATTTAGCACAGGGGTCTTCAATTAAAAGCGGTCCACTTTAGGGAAATGTCTTTGAGTTGAAGTCGGCAACATCACAATGCATATAACACGCATTAGAAATGTGACACAAACATTTGGACATCACCAATTCAAAAAGGTGATAACGTAAGGCAATTATCACACTGAAGTGGCAGGATTAATACACTTTAAAAAGTGCTTTGAAACAAGACTACCTCAAGTCGTCTAAAACTGAAGAACAAACTAAAGAGTAAAACACTTTTCACCACTTGCCCACCTTGTGTGGGTGGTATTTTCATTGAGTCAACCCGGGATAAGGCTACACATGAAAGTCCTGTGCAAGGATATCAGAAAGTTTCCCGTCAAGGAAAATGATGGCATTTGACTCAGCATGACTTAGGTTTGTTCTTGGTTTTGCTGTTCGGTGCTTTCTACCGTCTTTATCACAGATTTGCTTAACTGTTTGTTGTATATGTTAAATTGCTCCATGTACAGCACTTTGTATGCAGTGATGGCTGTTTGAAAGTGCTCTATAAATACAGTTGAGTTGAGTTGAGAGTCAAAACCAAGCACAAATGGAGGGCTGGCACTGGCGGATTGTTTTTGTCAGTGCAAGAGGGGCAAATGTTCAAAATTTGGAAAAAGTGTGGCAAATGTCTCCTCCATCTCAACACTGGTCTCTCTCTCTCTCTCTCTCTCTCTCTCTCTCTCTCTCTCTCTCTCTCTCTCTCTCTCTCTCTCTCTCTCTCTCTCTCACACACACACACACACACACACACACACACATTGTGTGTGCGTGTCCACATGTGTGCGTGCTTGTCCACTGCTTCCGATTAACATGTTTACCTTCAGCCGATTTGACAGCGGCCAAATGCAGACTGTTGCATTCCTCGGCCTGTCATCTTCTCAGGCGGAACTAAACAGCTCTCTCGCAGGACTTGAAGAATGTGCAATAACAACATGTCATGTCACAGCCGCCTCCGCTGTTGCAACAATTAGGGGGTTTGCATTTGACCCGCATACGGACTATGAGCTGAAGAGTCAGAATGGTCAGGTCAATATGCAGATCTAATTACAAGACATAAGGATGGAAAATGAATGCTGTGATGTTGCCAACACCCGACAAATTAGCCCGTCAATTTGTATGCAACTTCTACATCTGCTGTCATTCGGAGGTTTTTGAATGTTGCATAAGTGGGCTGTGAACAGTAGTCTGTCCTGTGTGCATTTGAATTTGATGATGTTTAGCGCTGAGCCTCAGCCTCTCTTGTGCTTTTTGTTGCATAGTAATCCCTCACTATTCACAGTGGTTGCGAATAGCAGTTGAATCAGATAATTAAGAAGATTAATCCACCTGTTTTCAACCATCTCAGTATGCTGTCGACATTATGCAGCCCGCTGATGTCAATTTCAATTGACATCTAAGTGCCCTTGGGTTCGCCTTACGAACATCACGTGACCAAACCCCAAGAAACAGATGAGCCATAACAATCGCAATGTGAGCCCGAGGACACTCTGACATCAATTTCAGTTGACAGCAATGGACGGTATAATGGATGGATGAAAAAGGGGGTGGCTTCTTCTATTTAATTCTTATTCCACCAATGCAATATAGACTAGTGAGGGCACATAGAACATATCGCAAAGAAAACATTTTGACTTGAGTTCCTCTTTAAGCAATGATGAGCACAGATGGTGGAGCACACATAAAAGTACATTACAATACTTTAGAGCAGTGATTTACAAAAGTAAATAAAATTTTGAATTAAAAATGTTGATGAAAAAATGTGAACATTAATAATTAATACATTAATATTAAATAAAAAGTAAATAATGAATAAATTAATGAATACATTTTCAACCAGTGCCAAAAGGAATTTTTGAAACCTGATTTCTGGACAGTGGTACTTTCGGTTGACTTTTTCCTGAAGCTGGAGAGCAGGCACTTTGCTTCCACTGCGTCCTGGCTCTGACCTGTCCCGAGTGTGACGTATTTTGGCCCAACGGCGGAGCAAACAGTGCTGGGAAGCATATCCCAGAGCAAACAGCGCTGCGAGCCAGCCACTTTGCTGTCAGAGTAACTATCGTACATCCAACTGAAGCAGTGCCATATGAATGACACCCAGAAATAATGGTGGTTTTTACGACTGCTCGTTCGAATACAAGTCAGATCAAACTGACTTGCCGTGTTCCTTTGCCGTTAAGTTGAGTCAACACAGCTGGTTTGTAGCTGATTTATGGTAGTCTGTGCCAAGAGTGGCAACTGGGTGGTTCACCCCCCGCCCCCCAAAAAAAAGACTCAGCGAGTCACTCGTGTGCCAGCAACTCGAGTGCGAGAGATCCACTTTCAGTTTGGAAAAATTGTAAAATGAAGGTCAATATTGAGATGGGATTTACAGTGCAACTCCAGCCTAAAAAGGCTGACCTGTAATAGTGGGCCCAGTGATCATGTGTTCACATCCGGGCACCCTGGACACAAAGGGCTGATTGAGAAGGGCCCGCAGCATAAGATAGACTCAAAGTGGACAACAGATATTGATTTTCCTGCCATCTTTGTTCACGTGTTGGCTGCCACATGCAAGCACAAGAATTGCAGCGCAGTGTGGGGAGCAGCAGTGCACTTCGAAATGTTCTGCAAGAGTCACTCATTTGCACATCTGATGCATTCTGTGAGGCCAGAGCACCTCGAGGGGAAGCAAACGTGTACAAAGTGCCCGCTTGTATACATATGCATGTTATTTACATCATGTCAGTGAGAGGGGCTCATACATCATTTTGTGTTCTGCAACAGATGCTCGTTCTTGATGTGTGCATCAGAGAACTTGCCTAGTGGTTTGTGTGACTGACCGGAGAATCTGGAAGAGGCTGCGGGAAACGTATCGGGTTTAACATCTGTGTTGTAATGTAGGCAAGCCCACAAGCTTCAAGTCTTTACATGAACGCAACCCTGGTCCGATTAGGCATGAAAGGCAGGCACACCTAGCAATGAGATTTCATGCTTTTCATTATTTAACATGTCGATTTGTGTTTTAGGTGTATACATTAATTAACCACCTGCAACAGTAAAACAATGCAGGTATGTGAGATACAAGCTGACAAATGTGTAGAGGAAATTACAGCCTGGGAAGTGAGTTGCTTCATATTAAGGCTTCTTCCATATTACTATTTAAAATTCTTTGTCTCAAGAGTATAAAAAAATTTAGCTCTCGTACGTAACTGTACAATATTATGTGTAATTGGGGTTGAACGACAGGGCTGCACCATATTGGAAAAACATGGTGATGCCGATATTATCGCGATATTTAACATGTACTGAAAAAATATATACATTTTTATTATCTAATGAATTGTTTGGTTTTTTTTTCTTTCACGCAGCAAAATAAGCAAGCTGAATGCATTACAAGCTAATTGATTGCAATACTCTTAGATACGGTTCAACTATTGGCTGGCGATGCGCACTTAAGGATGTCAAAGTCTGACAAGAAGTCTTGACAATTTCATATGAAATTGATTGCACGCCATTGCGCTATGCATATTGCAGGGATGAATATCACGATAACGCTTTTTCCATATATTGTATCACCCTATTGAAAGAATAAAGATTTTTGGGAGCTGATTATAAAGTGATTAATCATCAACATAACTGATATTTTTCCAGTACATTACAGCCCCAACTTTTTTTGTGTTTCACATAAAAACATATTTTGGCAGACTGGCCTAGAAACAATAAGAATGATGCGTATTTTTCTGGATGACATGCGTCTGGTGTATTCACTTCCACCCTGCCACCTACTGACCAAATGGTCTTCAGAACCTTACCAATGTTGATGGCCGTTTCCTGTTTATCCCCCGTAAGTATCCAGATCTTGATGTCAGCCTTCATCAGTGTCTCTATGGTCTCGGGCACCTCATCCTGCAGCTTGTCCTCAATGGCGGTGGCCCCCAACAACTGCAGGTTCTACCAGAGAAAAATGGGCAGCGTTACTATAGGAGGCGGGAAGTAAGTGTCGATAGCAGGGGAGCACAATACATCGATCGCGATCAACCGGTAGCCCGCGGACTGGTCCCAAGTTGATCGTGAGAGGTGTTGGGGCTAATGGGAGGAAATAAAAAGTTTTGTGTCTATGTGTTTGTTATTAATAATCCATATTTTGTGTTAGGATGCACTGTCTGTTTCACTTTCACAAAAAAAAAAAAGTATTTAAAAAAAAAAAATAATAAATAAGCGGGTCACCTTTAACCTGTGGTCACCAGAAGTTGTTTGCGATCAGCAGTCTGCAAATGCAGCTTGCGATCAGAGCTGTTGCGCTCTTTTATTGTGATTATTATTTTTCTCATTCAGAGTTTGTTTCATCTGCAATTCACCGATGGCACTGTCAAAGGACGGGAAGGTGGACCAGCAGGAGAAGCATTTTAAAACAGTAGGCGTATGTACAACAGCCTCAGTGTCAGGTTTCTACTCAGGCAGGCAGTGATTTCCTTTTCACAAACTCACAAACTATTGTATCTATTTTATTTTTATGTTTTGTTCATGTTAGGGGCCGTTATGGCTGTTGCTCATCATGGCATGCGTGTGCGTATGTGCGGGCGTGCATATGTGGTGATGGGTCGATCGCCGGAGGGTGGTTGGTTGCTTGAAAAGTAGATCTTCGCTCAAAAAAGATTGCACCCCTCTGGTCTATAGCCTTAAAGAAGGCGTGTACAAATTTGTAGTTTTGTTGTAAGACTGCAAACAAAGGTTGTCATATCACAAGAAAAAATGAATCTTTTGTGCCAAGTTGTATTATTTCAGGGAACTTTTTAATTGATTATATTAAAATCAAGTGAGTGAGCAATATTCTGTGAGAGAAAAAAATATATTACAAGAATTGTAATATTCAGATTAAAAAAATCAATTTCAGGAGTTGGATTATTCCAATGAAAAAGTCAGAATTCCAGGAAAGGAAAACTCCAGTAATTTTCGAATATCTCCAATATTCTCAAATATTTGAAGAAAAAAATCATAGCAAGTAAGTGATAATAAGAAGACACTTTTATTCAAATGTCATTTTATTGTAAAAGCAATTTTCTGATGAAAATATATTTTTCAAATGAAAATAAAATGAAAAAAAATTGAATTTTACATTAAAATTTGAATTTCATGTTTAGTATGTTTTTAATGAAAAAAGTCCCATGAAACATTTTGAGAATAGAATATAATATTAGATTCAAGTCATAAATGTGAACCCCCCAAAATGTACCCGAATATATTAACACTTTCATGAACATTTCTATCAACCAATCAACAGACAGTAGCCTGTCTAACTCCAGCTTTACAGAAAACATTGCCATATTAACACCTTACCAATCACGTCAGGTACAATCTAGCCACTCTTGTTTATCACCCAGAACAGACACAGCAGGTTTCTGGGCTTTGGAGCCAGTGTGTCGACATGTGACCACGGGAGGAGGAAAAAAAACAAAAACAAAAAAGCAAAAAAAAACCCCAAAAAGCAGGCTCTTGAGTACTTGAGAGCAAAAACTCGACAAGGTCCGGAGGGACACTCTTGAGAATGAGAGGAACAAGGCTAGATCTGATCAACACTTGCAGTGGCCTTGGGCTCTTTTGTCTCACTGATGTTAGATTTATTCTTTGTGGGTTCTGAGGAGAAAAAGACCTCACTTGGATCAGGATTACAGCCCCCCAGCCAGGGTGGTACTCCAAAAACGAGCCAGGTAGTCAGGCCAAATGCTGCTCTTCTGCAGTGATAAAACATGTGAGGGATGAATTTGCATATCGGTGTCAGCCAATGTGAAGATTCTATACAGTGTCACTCATTTGTCACAATACTAGGTGTCTATGCACAATCTAATGAGATTCTGTGCAAGAGCTGTAGGAAAGATTCTGCCTTTACTGTGACAAAATACGGAGTTTTGAGTGCCTCTGTTTAATTTTGATGACCGCACCACTTCGAACTGCAACCACAATGATAAATATTGTTATATAAATATCTTTCTGACAGTGACAAGCACAACTGAGCACTACAACCTTCATTCTGCTTTCATTTGGGGAGGGTTGTATGTTTTGATTACACCAATTCAGAATGCATGAATAACTAATAATTACCTTTATAGCTGTAATGTGGCCCGAATATGCACCCAATTTGTCATTTTAGAGACATTAACGTTTCATACAGTGTTACTCATTCGGTAGTTGTGCAATCATATACTGCGTTGGAAATAAGCTTAGTTTGTATTAATCTAAGGTCTCAGATCTTAAACTTAAGGACTTTGAACTTTTAATTCGGCTTATTTGTGCAGTATAAAGTTCATAATCCATCTTCTTTATGAAGTAGTTGTGAAGGATTGATATGCGCTCCAACAGTGTTGATTGTGACTCGAGCGCGCCCTCATGTGGCTATGTGACATTTTATCATTTTATGCCATAACCCAGGGGTCCCCAACCTTTTTTGCCCCACGGACCGGTTTATGTCAGACAATATTTTCAGGGACCGGCATTTAAGGTGTGGCGGAAATAATACAACAAAATGATATGGTATGAGCTGCATGAAAACTGTGGTGTTTTTCGAAATATAATAATAAACACAAGGAGTGTCTAATATGGCCGCAACACTCTGATCGCTATGGTAATGTTTAATGCCTTCAAAATACGATACAACGCAAATTCAAAGTGCATGAAAATGACAACTCACCACAGCCCCGAACTTGATTTTCTGCAACCAGACGGTCCCATCTCGGGGTAATAGGAGACAATGACACCTCAAGTGTGTGGTTTATGTCCAGTCTACTTCGTCATTTTGTTTTAGTCGCCGTTGCTGCAGAAAACCCGCGCCTCACACAGGTAGGATGTCGGAAATAGCAACAGTGCTATTGTGGCGATCTCAGAGTATTCAGCCATAACTTTAATCCAGTTGTCTCGAACGTACTTTTAAGGCCGCCGTCATTTGCGATCTCCATCAGTTTTTTTACTCATTTTGCGAGCTCCGGCGTTTTGTTTTTAGCGTCATCAGTCACGTGACGGAGAAGCGTGGCTTGACGTGTGTCAAGCGTAACACAGACGAATGTAACGGAGAATCAGGTAATTTTTCAAAATAAAACATCTTTCGTATTCTGAAATAAATAAAACGGAATTAAGGCAAGTTCTTTCTTTGCGGCCTGGTCCCAAATGCCCTGCGGACCGGTGGTTGGGGACCCCTGCTATAACCCACAGAGTGGTGGACAGGACATAAAGTCTTTAATTTGCCCACTGCACATTACATTTTCCCCACTGGAAAACGTCCCTGTTTACTTCATGATAGATTGCTCCCATTTACGCGTGTGCGTATGCATGCGTGCGCGCGCGTGTGTGTGTGTGCGTATGCATGCGTGTGTGTGTGTGTGTGTGTGTGTGTGTGTGTGTGGTGGTAAAAAGTGCCAAGTGGGTGATTAACGACTGTGGCCTGCCGTGTTTGACGGGCGCTTCCTACTGGACTCACCTCTCACAGTACCAATTACCCGCGTCTGATCTCACACAAACATACACTTGGAATTTGCACCGTTATCCATGTTTGCTTACATTGGCCAGTCTAGTCAGTCTTTTCAGTTTAGTTGAGTCTGGTGTGGAAACGGGGACATTTCAAATATACACTTGTGAGTTATTTGATCAAGTGTTGCTCCGCAGTGTTGTTTTTCCTGTATAAAGGGTTAAAAATCTAGCACAGAATGAGGGGAAGATCAACATTGCAATTTAAATCTTTCTGTTGCGGTACCACAGCCATAACAGAGGCAGGATGTTTGTACTGTAAGCGAATGCGGTAATGCCTGAACATGTTTAGTTGAAGACGTGCCATATTGCGTTGAAAGCAATTGTCGCTGTCCAACAAGTATTTTATTGGTCAACCCATAGTTTGGAGGGCCAGCCAAGCCCTGCACTGGTGGGTGATATGTCCTTAAATAACTTATTTATTGATTTGTCTTTAACGTTTTCTTTTCCCCAATTCACTTGGAGAATAAAACAGATGAAACTGATTTGATTAAAAACAAGTTGACCAATTCGGGACGTATCCGGTCTACCGCCGGAAGTCAGCTGGGATACGCTTCAGCACACCCAGGAACTTAAGCGGCGCAGAAAATGGATGGGTGGATGGTCTTTGGTTTTCTCCCATAGGGTCTGCTTTTTTTTCCTCAACCAAGCGTACAAATGGTCCCTTTAGCCCAATCATGTATGCAACCAGAGTCATGAATACATTTGAATTGAAATATTTCAACAAGGTTGAACAATATAACGTCAGAAAATGAGTCGTCAAACTGCATGGCTCGGCTGGTCCAAAGAACATGTGTTTTCACATATTGAGTTGTAGGCAAAGTGAAATATTTCTGTCTTGGAAACCCACACCTCAGGTCAAAAGGTTCTAACCTGACTCCAGCAGGCTCTTTCCTTGGTTTATGCAAAACGACGAGAAAATAATTAAAGTCACTTTTTTGAAAAACACTCAGTTGAAGGTTTAAGCTAGCGCCGCTCTGTTTGCAACCATAAAAATTGTAATGAATCCATAATATTGATGAATTGCCCAGCAACAGGGCCCTGCGGAAAAACAATTTCAGTTCTAAGGCCGCCACATCAATTCCGCTTATACTACACCATCAGTTATGGGCCCTTAACATGGTCAGCCCATACACACAAACAAGAAATGTATGCCTGGTTGTAATAGAGGTGTGTTTGTTTCATTTCCCCATACCTTCTCGATGAGTTCGTAGCTCTCCTCCATCTTGAGGGCTCGGTTCTGCACGGAGGTGCAGGCTCGGTGGTGAACCTCCAGCCACTGCTGATAGGACGACTCGCTGACGTCTGCCACAGCGAAGCACAGTGTGCGCAGCCCTGGATGGCGATAACGGCAATGTGATGACGTTCATAAAAAATTATAATTAGTGTCGAGTTAAATAGCCTAAATTAATGAATTAACTGTGGTGTATGTCTTTTAATTTTTTAAATGTTTATTCGTACTATTGATTGTTCAGTACTATGTATTGGTATCATTATTACTTTATTATTATTTGATTGTATTATTTTTAAGTTAATATAGCTCACTTACACCTTTTTATTTTATTTACATGATATCCCCTTTATCTATTGATTACCATGACTTAAGCTATTTTTAGGATCAATAAAGTACTTAGTAGGAAGAAGTATGCAGTTTACTTGTAGTCGTTGAAAACAATATATAAATAGGCATGTAATTCAATTAACTGTCATTCGATAGTGTAGGACTATCAAATATCATGTCCTGTGAGTGCATGTTTGGTATACGATGTAGATTTCCATCCATCCATAATCTGAACCGCTTTATCCTCACGAGAGTCGCGTGAACTGGTTGCCAGCCAATCGCAAGGCACACATAGCCACACAATTATTCACACTCACAATGACACACACCTCGGGAAAATTTAGAGTGTTCAATTAACCTGTCGTGCATGTTTTTGGGAGGAGTCCAGAATGCATCCTAGTAACCAGATGGGCGAGCCGCCTCATCTGGCTCCTCTCAAAGCAGGGGAACAGAGGCTCTTCTCTGAGCCTCTCCCAGGCGACAGCAATTCTCAGCCTACCTCTAAGGGAGACCCATAGGAGGAAACTCATTTTGGCCACTTGTATCCAGGATTTTTTTTTTCTGTCAGTCACAACCCACAGCTCATAACCATAAGCGAGAGGAAGCACAACATCTATTCAGAAGATTTCAGTAAAAGCTCTATCCATCCATATTCTATTGCATCTCCATTAAGGCTGTGGGTGAGCTGGTGCCTATCCCAGCTGACTTTGGACAAGGGGCAGGATACACTCAGGACTGGTCGCCAGCCAATAACCAATAAACGGGCACATAGGGATACATGGTATGTATACATGTAAAAATCAGAACAAGGCGTATCCGTCGCTTGCTGCGTTTAGTCTACTCTGAAGCAATACCACTCATTTGCCACCAGGAAGCAGTGTAAGCAAAGAACAGCAATCAACCTACCATGCATGTTTTTGGAATGTGGGCGAAAATCAGAGTACCCAGAAATGGGGGGGGATGAAACATATATATATATATATATATATATATATACACACACACACACACACACACACACACACACACACACACACACACACTTTGAGCGGTCGAACGCGAGTAACCAGAAAGGCACTCACCCTCTGTGGCAAACTGCTCCAGATGTTTCAATGTAATCTCTTTGTAACGGGAGCTGTCTGACAGTCTGTCATAGATCACCGTGTCCTGAAGACAAACACATACGCTCACTGACAAGTGGTACACAAATATATCAAGTATCAACAGGTGTTACTTCTGCCATCCATACATTGCTCGTGAAGTGAATTGTGTTATATAATTTTTGTTATTTTATGTTAACTGTTCTGTAAAGCGCTTTGTTACAGCTTACAGCTGTTCCTGAAAGTGCTACATCAATAAAGATGTATTGCATGGTGTTGTGGTTTTATAGTGTTTTGTAGAACACTGGTTCTCCAATGGGGGTACGCGTATGCCTTGAGGGCATGTGAAAGCACTTCAGGGGGTCCATGAGATTTTCAAAAGTAGCATCAATGCAAAAAATAAAAATAAATAAATAAACCTCGATAGCAGCAGTGGCCACCCTGCCATCAACAATGATGACAATGATGCTCAGTGAAGCACAAGCCCAAGTGTCTCACTAAAACTCAGTTCAGTACATGAATGGAATTATCAGCGTTGACAGTTGGTAATGTAGTTCGTTTCATTAAATAGACATCACAAAACGTTAGGGATATTTAGCTTTCAGGTGAAATTTATGAAAAATGTAAAAGGTTCACGCTACAGTGATATCATATCATGAAAGTAGGACATTTGCACAGAAGGATGCACTGGTGGTTTCCTCATCTCAAGAAATTAATTGAAAAAAAAGTTAGCAATAATGGTGGGGAGACCACAACAAAAAAATTCAAAGTCTCAATAACTCGTCATATGCCCTTGAGCATCAATTGCAGCAATGATGTCTCATGCTGTTCACGAGACGACTGATTGTCTGCTGGGGCATGACATCCCACCGTACTTGAACGGCAGCCCTCAGGTCATTGAGGTTTTGGAGTGCAGAGATTCGAGCCTCTACACGGCGATTCAGCTGATTCCACAGGTTTTCAATAGGATTCAGGCATCACAATGGCTACGTACTGTTGATCCAGTGTTTGGTCTCGCCTTGGTCTCATGATGTCAAAATGTGAACAGCCTTGGTCTCATGATGTCAAAATGTGAACAGCGACAACAAGAGCTCTAATTGAAACAGGACATTTATTGGACGATTCAAGGATCAAACATCTGTTGTGAATTTTGCCATTAAGAAAACAGCAACAAAAAGTACTGAGACATTTAACAGTTGGACGTGTGCATTCAAAAGCTTGGAGGAAGTCACATTAAGTTCACCTGTAAAGGTTTGAATGCATTTTAGCCTCATCCTGAAATTTCACCTGAAAGCTAAATATGCCTAACTTTTTGTTCGTAGTGTATTCTAAGATGATTTCTTAAAATCAGTGTCTGCTTTTGTTTCAAATTAAGTGAATGATTTCTTTTTGAGTAGAGAACAACACCTTCAACCCAAATGAGGAAGGGCCGTCTTTATTTATAATTAAGTGAATTATTTCTTAATTGTTCTTGGTTATACCTTTTTCCTTCAAAATAGTTCTAGAGACACCACTATAAATGGAGGTCCAAACTTTACTTAATCAGACACTCTGTTTTGAGTCTTTTTTTTTGTTTTCATCCAAAAATGCTTTGTGCTGGTTAGAGACTGAAAAAAATATAACTGACAGAGAGTATATCATTGGAAAAAGGCTGGAAACCACTGTCCTTGAAGATTGCCTGAGAAGGGGCACTACAGAGATGTTTTTTTCTGTCTATGTAGCCCCGATGATGATGATGATGATGATGATGATAAGGATGATAGAGACGGGTAGGTTTTGTGCATTGCCATGGTGACAGACAAGACACTCACAGCTCCTTTGCAGTAGAGGCGGATCTTTCCGGATGGCGTGCGCATGATGACTGACATTCTCTTCCTCACACTGCACGAGCGAGAGAGAAGGTGTCATCTTGAGGTGTTGCAGCCAAGAAATTATCGCACACAGTTTGAGCATAGCATGTGGAGTATCAAATTAGACAACATGGAGGTGGGCAACACAATACAGTAACTCACTGTAAGAAACCATTAGAGTTTGCTGAAATCACAATAATATTCAAGTGAACAACTAAGACTAGGACTAAAACCACTGCAGTGTGTGAGGCATCTGTGACATCCATCTTCAACCGCTTTATCCTCTCAAGGGTCGCGAGGCGTGCTGGAGCCTATCCCAGCTCCCTTTGAGCAGTAGGGGGGGCACACCCTTAACTGGTTGCCAGGCAATCGCAAGACACACATCGCAGAATCACAATTCAGACTCACAATCACACCTAGGGACAATTTGGAATGTTCCATTAATCTGCCATGCATGTTTTTGAAATGTGGGAGAAAGCCGGAGTACCCGGAGAAAACCCACGCAGGCACAGGGAGAACATGCAAACTCCACACAGGGAGGGAAGGACCCGGAATTGAACCCATAATCTCTGGACTGTGAGGCGGACATACAAACCAGCTGATCAACGTGCCATTCCTCCGGGCCAACATAAAAATAAAGGAAAGACCGTCCAGCATATGCAAACCTGATTAAATGACAGATTCTGTATTCATACTATACCTTGTAAACTCCAGTACGTGAAGCAGCTCATATTTCTCCTCGCTTCCCATCTGAAAGCACAATAGAAAAATAAGGTGGGACTCAATTAGCATGTTTAATTGAACCAACCGCAAGGCATGACAGCAAACGATTAGGCCGATGTGGAGAGTTTAGACGGGTCTGATGAAGCTGGAAAGATTACAGCAATGTCTCTGAGACACAATGTTCTCAGGAGCAGACGAAAGAGGGAAATGGTTCTGGCCTCTTTGCGCCTCCAGTGCAGTCATCAGGTTAGCCAATTAAAGGAACAACAGGACGGATGACCTGCACACTCTCCATCGGCTAAAATTATCATTGTCGTAGACATGTGGTATTGCATTATTCCTTACAAAGGCTGCCCAGTCTTTTAGAATTGGGTGCATTTTTGTTTTTATAGCGGGGTGATTGGTGGGAGGGTCAACATTTATGATAGGTGACAAAATAAACTGTGTGTTTTTGTTAGCGCTGAGCATTTCATGCAACTTCCCTAATCACTGATCCGAAGACTCAATCAAGTATTTTTCCCAATGGAAAAAAAAAAAAAAAAGAAAAAGATTATAACAACTCTGAGCAATGAGCACGGCACACTCACTTAAGTCTCACAGCTAAAATGTTCCACTGCATACACCAACTATAACACAATAATAAAAATAGGAATACTGCAAATTATGCCGCATCAAAAACACTAATGTACAACCATTCGAGGTCTCCTCAACTCTGAAAACAATATTGAATCTTGGGGTGGAAAAAATAATTGACGAATTGGTTGAAAAAAAAAGCAAATAGGACATTTTGTTATTTTAACGTAAAAAAACACTATCACAAGGTATCAAAGTAAGCAGAGATGCAAAAGTATGACTGCGCTAAGTGTGGAGAACCTAACCATATTCACAGTAATAGATCACCACGGTATTTAAATAGTTATATTGAGTGTTAAATTTTATTAGTAGGTGTTGTAGAGTGCAGAACACAGTGTTATACAGTCTACAGTACATGTTTCTTTCCTGCTTTTGTATATACTGTACATGCTTTGCTTTTTTAAAAGGGTTATAACACTGCAACATCAAAGCTAAAGAATGGCATTTTGTATTTTGTTGTTAACATTAGGCCAAGCTAACTTTTCTAAGGCAAAGTTGTGTGTTGTTTTTAGTTAGACAGTACACTTCAACTGAGTGGTTCAGCAAAAAACAGCTCTTCTTAAGCTTACATTTTACCTCGCAAGCAAAAAAAAAAAAAAAAAAAAAAAGCCATATGATGGCCCATGTCTCGCTTAACTTGTTCATGCACCCTGCAACCTGATAACATAATGTCCAATGTAGTAACCGCTGTCCCTGAAAGGGTTAAGTCAGGTCACTCATATCTCAAGGCACAACTGTATTTACAAGGATGTTAAAATGTCAAAATCCAGCAAATGTTACACAGTTGATTTTGATAACTATGAGTTCATAGAAACATTCAATCCCATATGCTAGAGGAAAAAAAACTGTGGACACGTCACTAGTGTGTATTGTGTTGCAGGGGATTAAATTTACCATTTCCACAATGACGCTGTCTGGCGTTCTACCAGAGAACACAAAACCCAGGTTGCGTGCAGCTCTCACCAGAGCGCCTTCATCTTGGAAATAAAGAAAAAGAAAATAAATGTTACACACAAGAAACCAAAGCCCGAATATGTTTTCATAACGAGGGCAATGTTTGTGCACCAGGTATCTTGTGGCCGGGCTTGCACAAAGGCTGCTGCAGGGCGAGAAAAAGCTATCTGCTTATTTTTTTCCAGTTCACTTAACAAGCTCATCCCCCACTTCGCTTGAAACCCCAAAGCTCCTCCACACGAACACCATTGCTGTATGCGATCAAGCAAAAAATAAGCACAGAATGTCACATGAAGGAACAGAATCCTGTTTTGGGTTTATTGAAAGGCAATCTTCCTTGCTATTTAGCACGTGTCAATTGTACAGCATATTTGTGTCTGTATGTGCCGTACATACCACTAATAATAAAATTGCATGTCGACTTTAGTCTACCACAGACTGGTTGAAGCAAGTTTCAGCAAATCTTTTTCCCTCGTCATATTTTTGGAATGAGAGTCCACTCACTGTTTACATTTGGAGCAGCAAACAATGCCCCAAGGGATGCTGACATTTGGCAATTCCATTAAGAGTGTCCTTTTATTTTGTTTTTTGTGGTACATTTACATACTGCTGCTAAGGGCACCAGGCATGTTTCAACGCAATGCTGCAACATGCAAAGGCTGCAAACCTTCAGCAAGAGGATTTTTTTTCTTATTTGTTTCTGCTTCCTTATAAATAATAAAACAGGTGATTTATTTCTTTTCTGTTCCATACACCGCAACTCTCTCTCTTGCTCCCTCGTGTGTGTGTGTGTGTGTGTGTGTGTGTGTGTGTGTGTGTGTGTCAATGCATAAATAAAGAAAAATGGGTATCACATTCTTCATCTTCTTTTAGACTGGGAATTTGAGGTGATTTATTTTTTTTTTTGCTCATACTAAAGTGAATTTGTTACAGACTAAAACTGTCACCATCATAAAATCTTTCAAAACTGTCAAGGTGAGGTTTTCTTTGTTTTGAATTTTAAAATCCTGAACTGACAAGTGGAAAGAGAAGTACGTGTATTTGCAACTTGTATACATGCATACACATAATAGGCTATTTAAACATGTGGAGGTGTGATGTACCTGGGGATGCCGCCTGGTAGGTAATTTTTCCATCGTTGTGCTCGGGCACTGCGGTGTGGCAGATGGCCATCATGGTCATGAACTCCAGAATGACAGCAGCTGTAGGCTAAAGGAAGTAGGGAAAAAATAATGTGACGATGAATTATGCACATAATATATATATATATACAATAATGATGAAAACAAAAAAAGCAAGAATAAGGCTTGAAATTAAGTGCAAAAAGTGGATTTAAAATGAAGAATTGGGTACATAAAACCTCAGAAGAATAGGTATAAAACTGAACCTACGTATTGTCTGATACATGTTTTACTTTTACTGTTACATTAGATTTTTCCAATACAGGACAGGTATTTGGTATGGCAACTGGAGGATGTAATAAAAACTAAAATAGATTCTGATAGGATAGACAAAGAATCTACCAGTTTTCATCATGGCTTCTGTGAACTTGAAAACTAATGTGCGGTCTTTTATCTGCACTTATAACCTTTTAGACACCAATCAACAACAAACTGTTCACCACACATCGATTTCGCCAATGAGAGAGGAGAGAAGAGGATTTTCTGAAAGGTCTCATGGGTGTTTAAAGAGCACAGTTATCTAAAGCAGGTTTGTGACTTTCATCATCTCTGAAAGACCTCCGAACAAATGCTCATGTGCTCTGAGGATAATTACATCATTACTAAAAGCTCCATTTATCAGGTTCGCAAGCTGGTAGTCAGCACAAAGCAAAAACATTTACTCACGTATACGCAGTAGATACAAAGGGGCTAATCTTATTTTCAGAGCATTTGCCTTTTATTCTACTTAGGAATCAGCAGAACTAGTTCATTGGATGTTTTCACATATGAGATATTTTAAAGCATTAATCTGGTTTCCCACTATGTTACATACATACATGCATACATACATACATAGATACACTGACCTACAATGATGTCTAAACACTTGCACAATCTAACCCGCAGTCTTGTATAAAAACAAACCCTGTTTTCGACATGATGTTGCACTTGTTAGTGGTGTTTTAAATGTGCACCTTGCTAGAGTACCGTTTTCAGCACCGATGGTACAAGGGCCATCTTATCCCATGTGTACAAGAGGACGGCGGGCAGTTGCGCACTTTTATGGCTGTGCAGATTCTCCCAAGGACTTCAGTCTTTCATTTATGCACCTTCATGCCAGATACACACTCTGGATGGAGCAACCTTAAAAATGTAGGTGTCAAATCTGGCCTTGCACGCATTCTCCTGTCAACTGAAACACTTTTTCATCAGGGATGGATAATTTCACAAATGTTCCCTACTTGGCCATAGGGAAATTCATTTTAATAGTTCTATTTAGATGGAGAAACGTTCTGTAAAATGTATTTTTGTTTCACGTCCAGAAGGAGGAGTTGTGCAAAAGTGTGGATGGAGGACAGTTTCTTGGTCATCTTTTGAAAGAAAAGAGAAAATGAGAGAGAATTAATAGTGCCCCTGCTGCTCCAGCCAAGCAGCGATCTCCAATTTGCCTCGACTGCTTCATGACATGGAGAGCCAATGACTTCAGAACAGTTGACAAAATTTGTCACGATTAATCAGTGAATTAGTTGAGTGATTGGCCAAATCACAATTGTCATAATTTTTTTTTTCTCTCGCTCTCTCTTGTAAACCAAAATGTAATTTTAGTTTCAAACGTACATGCATTCATGTAGATAAGGCACTTACTATTGGCGTTTCCTTGACAAACTAAATTGTGTGCACAAACGGTCGGGATTATTACATTAGCTTTTTTAGTCATCCATGGAAACCCTGCTGCGTTACAAAAGAGAAAAGAAATAAGGTAGTGGTGCTGGGGTGTGGGGGACGGTGTGTGTGAATCAAAGGGTCTCTTGAAAATGAAAGTCCACAGGTTCCATTACAGTCCAGGTGGCCATGAAAGCCCTTTTGTCTTGGTATGCTAATCAACTTTGGGTTGACAGGTATCCTCTGAAGGACGAGACGCTGTGTAGTATTTGCATGGACATATGAAGGCCAAACCATCCTGCAGAGTTTAGCTTAGGCGTGTAACTGTGAGCGTTAAGGAGTCGTTATGAAAATGAGGACCTTGAGTTCAAACGCAAAGGGCCGATGAGATGGTCGCATTGGTGAGAGAATACTGCGCTGTCAGCCATCGACCCAGACCCCTGACCCACACTGACTGGTGGGTCGTCACCTTCTGTCACAGCAACGGTGACGGATGCCTACTTACGACATGGACAGAGTGGTAAAACTTGACAGGTCCATGGAAAAAGACGGTGCTTTGACTCAGGAGACCATAAAGCACTAGGGGAGAAGTTTATTTTTGTCGTTGCTGTGGTTTAATTGTATTCACATGTGATGTCAAACCTCAACAAATAGTCAGTGAGCAGAAAAGGTGTGATTCAAGCTATCAAACTGGACAGCGAGAAAAATAATTAAATAAATAGCTAGCTACGGTAGAACGATTGATAGAAGAAAAGGGTTCAGAGGATTATGGTGTTGCATGTTAAGTAATAAATGTTGTTCACTCCCATTTTGTTTCAGCAGTATGTAAAGACATGCAATAATACTATAATATTAGAGTATAATATTGACAGTGATATGCGATGTATGTTGTGGCCTACCTATTGATGAATTATGATAAATCGGTAAGTATAAAGTGCAAAAAAAAAAAACCTCTTTACAGTATATGCTTCGCAAGTATGCATATGAACTATATGTATCAACTACTTTTTTCCATAGGATATACAGTAAGATAGTGAACTGTTTGTTCCACCATAAAACCTTTATGGATTTTTCTGAAGTAACATTTACCATTCTGCCATACAAGAGTGAAGGTAAGAAAAAAATGTAAACTAGTGAGTTTAGGGCTAAGGTCTATATTTTTAATTTCCACGCTAGAAGTCATTTAGCGTTAGCTACATGCCGCTTATGTTACTTTCTTACATCTGTTAGCATCCACTCGCTCATATTCATTTATTCATTTGTGTATATAATTGAAAAGTAATGGTGTTGTTCTTGTGAATGTAAGAAATGTTGTTTCTCAATAAGTGCCGTGTGTTTGGATTAAAAAACCAAGAATAACAACATGATAGACTCCAACCCCCTTTTCACCCAAAATTAACTGGGAGTGGCTCCAGCTAACCAACAACTTGAATGAGCACAAGAATGATGGATGGATGGATGGATATTACACCAAGCAGCACACTTTGTGTTCCCAGTTTGTTCCCCTTCTGGTTCTATGGTTATCATCACAGAGTGGCACCACACACACACAAAAAAAAATAAATTCCCCAAAACACAAAGAACTACAAGCTAGCACATTTTGTTTGCACTCCAACTGTAAAACTGAGATTTGACTACAGTTCTCGCAGTGGAAAAAGAAAGAAATGAGTGAATGTGCCTAACTGTGGTAATAATGTGAACAACCTTTCAAGGACAGTTTTAATCAAAATGATAGAAGAGGAGATCACCAAGTCAAAAACATGTTATTCTGCTTCCGTATCAATGACAGGTACCATAAAAAAAGACGTATGATACAAAACGTTCCATCAGGCTGCGTCAACACACGAGCACCCAAAAACCAAAAGTTCGAAATCAAGAGGACACTAGACACATTTTTAACCCACGTCACTTTTTTTTTTTTTTTTAAATCTGAGGGGGAGACGTAACTTGACAGCCGACTTCACTCACATGATTACTTTGGAGGTTTTCCAGCAAGCTTGGGTCAATAAATCCAGACTCCTCTGACGAGTGCGTGCTGTGGCTGGAAAGAAGACACAAAACGCGTCAAACAACAGTAGAACACAGCGGAATAACAGTGCAAATGATATCCATTGCAATATTGTGTACATTTAGGTCAAATTGTTATTGTTTCACTCAAAAAACTAAAATATAATTTGTTTTTACTTTCATCATTTGGACTCATTTTGATGCTGAAATAAATGTTAATCCAAGTGAGCCAACAAAACTGTCGTAGAAGCAATCAGGAATTCTTTCATATATTCTATTCAAATGACAACACAGCTCAGTTCAAATGTAAATTGACATATGTTGTGAAGGGCATCAAAATAATGGACCATGCCACTTGATGACGCCCTTCTGTCAGAGTACTGAAAGGTAGACAGTACATTTCCATGTGTTAAGGGAAAACAACAAAGTATCAACACACATGCTGTTAATATAGCAAAACAATGTTCAAAAGGACACAGAATTGCCTAATCAAGCCCAAACTTAAGAAAGGATTAGAAATAGCATTAGTTCCCTATCAGTGCTACAAATGATTACTGTTACAAGGGAGAATTCATCAGAAAAACACACCGATAACATCTTTGATGACCAGAAAGTGAAAAGCCGAGGGGGTGTTGCTGGTTCATAAAAGAAAGAATATCAATATCCCTGCAGCTGTACTGTTGGCCTGTCTAGCGGCCGCTCGCCGGCTGTCCAGTGGCTATCGATCCAGCATTCCGTGATAAATAGCGTCCAATAAATCAGGCCGACAGCAGCTTTTACCCGTGGTACTGCAGGCTTGATAGAAATGTTACCAGCAGTGAATGCCATAGAGGGGCAGCCATAAGTCTTCTCGAGCCTACAGGACCGCTCGAATGTTCACTCCTATCACTGTGGGAGGGCGGAAAGCTCACAGAGACGCTAACAATTAAAACACAAGATGGGCTGGAGTCTTTTTTTTGTGTGTGTGTGTGTGTGGGGGGGGGGGGGGGGGGGGGGGTTCTGGAGGTTTGTGGGAAAATGTATTGAAACACACCCAGGAGGCAGTCTGGGAATTATGGCTGCATTTTCGAATTTGCAGTCATTGCTGAGCGATGCAAAACTAAATTTCAAGGGAAATTGAGGATTTGCTGAGTTTAGCTCCTCCCTGACATACAAAGATGTTAGTCTGGCAGTCCAGATGTATCGCTTCAACATACTTCATATGACTTTTAAAACTTCGTTTTTAAGAAATCATGAAAGGGGATGTCAGGTCCAAAATGTTCTTTATAATAATATGCACTAAGTAGCCTCACTAGTCTCTAAAACCCGGTATTCCGATTAATATTGCATTTGCGGTCAATGAATTGAGCGACAAAACCAGAATCACACATTTTAATCATCTCATGGGGCATCCATCTTGCCACTTGCTGTCCACTGAAAATGACATCACAATGGCTAGGTGTCCAGCTTGCGAACGTAACATGACCAAATCCAGAAAACAGGTGACCGTGATTGGTCAACACTTGAGCCCTTTCGGCACTGTGATTGTATGATGTCATTTGGAGGTGATAGCAAGTGGCCAAATGGCCGCCACCTGAGATGGATAAAAATGGGTGGAGTTCTCTGCTTAATTCATATTCCACAAATGCAATATTTATCAGAATACCTGGTGGGAGCACATAGAACATGTTATTGTAAAGAAATGTTTTGACTTGACTTCCCTTTTATGTAATATTTTCCACGCAATGTTCAAATGAAAAAAGTGTGAATAATGTGACAGTGGCCCACATTATTATACATCTTTATACTTTTTTGGAATACAGCCTGCACCTCATTATTGATGACCACTTAGTCCTATTTTTAATGTTGGTCATGAGTGGTGGTAATTTTTGAATTTCAACTTTGTGTAACAAGGTTGTTGGTGAATTTGTGCATAGTGAAACACAAATATGGGGGCAGGGGGTTTGCCGTAATGCCACCTGAAGGGTTGTGCCACAACGCGGTTGTAACTCAATTTGAATTTACCACACCTGATTATCATGTTTCGTCTCTTTTAGACCGATAAGTAGTTGAAACCGAATCAACGTGTGCGTTACTAATTGCAGCAAAGTGACAGACTCCATTTTGCCTGCACTGCTTCAAGGCGCAATTCGTCAGTCAATAACTCGCTTAGTCCAAACAAGCCTCACAATTTGTTCCTTTATAAATTGAATTTGTGAAACACAAGCAACATGATTTTTTTTTTTTTTTTATACAGTCACATTTACACAATGAACCACAAATGCTACACAGGATTGCTACAGAGGATTGCTACAGAGGATTGCAGATGTTGCTGATGACATGATGCTTGTGCAACCACACGCAGCGATGCTACATCCAGGGGGCTTACTCATTAACATGTGACATTAGCTTATGCTAATGCAGCAACAAGGACTGCGTAGGCTGGCTGCACAGGAAGAGAAAGGAAAGCCTCTAAGCTCTCTTCGGCCATCAGTCAACATGCTGGTGGTCCTGATGAAACCTTTCAGGCTCCAGCGTGGTCACTTATTGATTGGCTGCCAGCCAAGCAGGGTGCTGTCACGACAGGAACATGGGTGCTGATGGCTCTCAATCAATTACCGTGGGCTGTTCCCAAATTAAAGCTTAATATGATGGAGCCCTGAATGGGTTGGTCACTGACCTGTGGAAGGGTGGTATCACTTCGTTTCATTCCAAGATGAGTTCTGATTGCAATGCAACAATTGTAAGGCAATAAGGCTGGCGTCTATTTCATTGATTTCCACAAAAAAAGTAGAATGAAGCTTCTGAACAAGTCGGGGATGTCAAAAATGTGGTGAAATATTCCAGCGTTAATTCTCAGTATACACCAACATTGGATGCCGAAACTGTCGCCGTCCGATGTCCCTGCTTTATTGAGTTCTATTTTTTAAAATTGCCCATTTTTGCTTCAACAATAATCATAGAGTTGTGACAACGTCAAGATAAGAGCCAGAGTCATTACTGTGTTTTAATAAACCTCCGACAAGTATGAGCAGGTTTCGAACAATATCACTGTTTGACTGTTAAATTTGGCATTTAAAAAAAAGAATAATTTTGATTTCAATGTAAATAGTAAAGGCAATGCACTGCCTTTTTTGTTGGGTTTTTAGAGAATATATGTAAAATATAAAATGAATGTTTTTTTTTCCTGCTCTCATTTTTCTTGCCTTCAAATCAGTTTTTCATTGGTGCATTTTAATATTTGCATATTGAAAACTTTCAATAATTACAGTCTGTATGCTTAGTTTGAAGGACAACTATGTGTACAAGTATCCCTTCTTCAGATTTCCCTTTATATCTTATCGGCAAATTGTCACTATATATATATATATATATAAACACACTAACATAAGTACATAAGCTATTGGCAGAAAGAGTCCTTATTCTAAACTTTATGTTTTGGTGAAAAGCTCCATGACATCTGCATGGTTACAAAGTGAAGGACTTTAGGCAGAGAAGAAAAAAAAAAAAAACACTTGTAAATTGCAACAACAAACATAATATTCAAAGTAAAATACCCACACAAACTCAAACGCAATAGTCTGAAACCAGCTTTCTTTAGAGAGACAACAGCTACAGTGGCTACCCCTTGGATAACGTCAAGATATATTTGTTAAAAGTCTTGGTGCTTGATCTAACAAACCTAAGAGGCGAATTAAGTTTGTTCTTGTATTAATGAGCCATTCTGTACACAAGCAACATCACATGCATGACAGAAGACTCAAAACTGGTTTCCGTTGAAAGAAAAAAGAGCAGAGACGAATGTTCACAGTAAATTCCAACACCAGGCATCAACAGACAGGCCCCGATCACCCATGCAAAAAGAGTTACGGCATGCTGTTATTGCCCCGATTAATACCACTGGAGATGAACCTGTGAATACATGTGTACGTGTGCCCGAGAGATAGTTGTGTGGTTTCATGTGTGCTACAACTCAGCACAGCCTCAACCAAATCTGCAACAGTGGTGTTTGAAATACGATTAAAAGCTTTGTCTTCACATCACAACAGTAACACACGGCGAATCCACTCCCTCACATTAGTGAGCGCACAAAGAAACAGGGTTGCGTTCAAAGTCACATATCCACCAAGGCACAGCAGCACTACAACGTGACAAAAGCAGCCCATTCATCTTACCAGTCATCCTCCGCAAAACTACCATCCTCAGTCTCGGGCACGTGACTGTTGAGGCCAATGTAGGAAGGGGGGGGAAAAAGCAAATAAAGACTGATCGTTAATGTGTTTTGAATACTAATCATGGGTTATTTTTCTGGGATAGTTTAGGATGCTAGGAAAGCTAGGCGCTAAATTGTGAGGATTTGGTTGGGATGATTTATAGAAATGTGTCTACTGCTTCAAAGCTTAATAAATATATAAATAGAAATATTTAAAAAAAACATTTTCACCTCAATGTATTCAAATTTATTCTGTTATAAAATCGCAAAACAACGATACTAAGCATTTGGGTAGTTGCTATATCCAGCAAATAGTGTCATTTAGTGATTAAGAAACTATAAAATATACTTCTATATCGTATGAACTCATCAGCATTAATCTGCATGTATATTCCACTTAGATGTCAAACTTGGAATGATTGTGTGCACTACAATCGGCGAAACAACATCTCTCCTTGAGATTTGGACTCCATTGCAGTGGAATTAATTAATGTCTACACCCTCGGGGACAGCTTTATTAATTACAGCAGGCCTTCATTTGTGGAGTGGAACACATGCAGGCAGTTGTGTCAGTGCTTTGTGTGTGTGTGTGCGTGTCACCCAATTACAAGTCACGACTTTGCACGCACTTGTGCTAAAAATGTTCTCGTGTGTCCCTTGGAAAAAAATAGAGCTATATTATCACACATTTTTCAGTTAATGCACAAAACTCAAACAGTGGAGTTTGTTTATTCCAGATGAAGACGCATGCAAAGCTATTTAGAAACAACACTACTAAAGATTGTTGACGCCACCTTAGGCGAGCAGTGAAATAGGACATCTGCGATGGGAATAGACAGCAAAGCGTCACATGGCAATGCCATTTTGTGTGGAGTGGGAAAAAAAAATGTATAGAAATATGTCACTAAGTGAATGCTGGTGAAGCTTTGCTCCATTCGAAGTCATCTTGTCTGATTTACGTCCACAAATTGAAATTAAAGCAATCTCTTAGGCGAGGACTGAGCAGACTGGAGGCTGACTGAAGTAAATCAGTGAGAGCTTATGACCCAGACTGACAGACCTCCTTCAGTCACTTTAAAATAGTCCATCCATGCCAATCAAAAAAATAAAAATAAAATTAAATAACATTTTTAAAAAACAGTTTGAAACGGATTTTCATCCAGGGTCTGGTGAATAAATCTAAAAGCAAATACAGACAATGTTCTGCGACAGGATGGTTGTAGAATATGTACTGTATGTCAATCAATTTTAAATTGCTTTTATAATTTGGCAGTAACCAGTAGAGGGCATACTGTATGTAGTTAGGGCCTCTGAAGTGGGCTGTGGGAAGAAGTCATTCCTGAAGTTTTGGAACCCCCGCTCACCACACATTTAAAGTGAAAGTGTGTTTGGTTGGAATCTTAGTCCCCCATTGCCTTTCTATTCCACCATTGTGCTCTAGTTATTCTGCTCTTCTTTTGGGACAACCAAGAAATTGGTGGAAACCCTATTTCTTTGTAACCAAGAGTGAAATCTTAAGCTTGGTATTTTCTGAAATGAGAAAAAGAATTAGTTTCCCCGATTGAATCTTATTTCTTAGAATACCTCATGTCCACATCCTTTTTTTTTTTAAATACAGTCCTAATCAAACTTTCGTTCTCAATTCTTTTGTCTGCACATCATCAATCAGGCTTTTCAGTGAATTCTAATGGGACTAACCATGCACTGTCATGCCCAAAATGGCTAGTTGAGCACTTTACTCTCAACCAAAAGCAATTCTTCCCAGAAGAGTAAAACGTTGGAGAGTGGTTTAAAGAAATGAGTGGCTTACTCATGGAAAAATAGGCGCAGATGCTTCTCTGCTCTCCAAAACGCTGGGCAAGAACAGCCGAGGAGCTGTCAAATCTCTATGCAGCTTTTATTTATAGCACAGAAGATGTGACAAAGCCACTAATAAGTTGAAGGAGGAGAGAAAACAACATGTCCTAACGAAGGTGAAAGTGACAGAGTCGCAAGCAAGGAAGGGGATATGAGGCGAAAAGTGGGGAGTGGAGTAGGAGTGGCGTTACGTACCCGTAGGCCACACCGGCGATGGTGCACTTCTTAAACTGCATGACATTGCAGGTCAGCGTGCCCGTCTTGTCAGAGAAAATGTATTTCACCTGCGCAGGAGGAAGAGGACATTCAAGACGGAACACAATCATCACGTCAAAGATAAGGCACATTGCTTTTTATTACCTGGCCTAACTCTTCATTTAGGTTGGAGGTGCGGGCCATGGCAGGTGTGTTTGTAGGCTCGTAGATCATATCAGTGTCCTGGCAAGGTCACAAAGAACAATCGCGTCAACCCACGATGCAATTGCAACGGCTCAAGCATCCTCCAGCGTCCATCCCCCTCTTCAATGAAACAATCAAGTTCATGATTAATGGCACAACTTTATCACCGTTGAAAAAAGGGACACCGTTTTTCGGGGGACTGTGTGGACAACGCTTGGAGTGATAGCATTCAAAGTCAAAAGGGGCTCTTTCCTGGCCAAAAAAGTGGCTACTGAGCTTCAAATGTCAGACTGTTGTCGACAGGTTGCAAAAGAGAGCTTGGAAGAGCATAAAAAGGCATAGAAGTGGACATCCTTGGAAATGTCCATGGGTCAAACACCTGTTGTGAATTTTGTCATCCAGTTCCTAGTGAGAACAGCAAATTGTACACAAAAGTACATCACAAATATGCAACATACGGCACCACGAAGATCCGCATGTTCGTAATAGCTGAACCCTCAACTCACCCAATTGATGAAGAAGGCCTGGATGAACTTGATGACCTCCAGAGTGACCAAGAGGCTGATGGGGATCAGGTTGTTGAACAGGATGATGAAGGTGAGGAAGTTGAGGCCGAAGTTCGCCGCCCCGCCATCTATCGAGGGGACACGGGTTTGGACACAGGAAGTGATACACAGGAGGCTCGTCAGCACCGGCTTCATGAGCATCCGTCGGTTAAATGTTAAGAGCCCGCAGCTACTTCCAGCCAATGGTCCCTCTTATCCCAAAGCAGGGAGAGTGTGGTGGGCTAACACGGAGCATTAGCTGGAAATTAACCCGTCCTCTCACCCATGAGTCAAATTTAACGTCCCATAGATTGACAGTGAGGGACCGTGGTGTCTCCATTGTTAGTAGTGTCACAGCAGCAGCCTTGGCATCCATCATGATCCAGGCAATAATTTCCAAATAAAGCACTATATGCAAAATGATGCCGCTCCCTCACCCTCCCTGCCTCCCCCATCCCAAAAAGTGGCAATGATCAGCGTCGAACCCCACGGACACTAAACATGAAAGCAGGAGGGATGTCATTTACCTTTCAACAGCTTGCGGGAACTTGCAAGAGTTACCTTCCTCAAGCCAACTTCATCTTAGCATTGAGAGGAGGGGCCCCTTGTCATGACATTACAAAACAAACCAAAACGAACAGATGGATGGCAGGATGGAAACTATACTGCTACTGGTACAACAAATACAGGGAGTCTCAGAAGTGAGGTGGTGGGGAGGGGAAGACAAACGTACTGGATGCTGTCGAGACAAAGGAAGGGAGATTCGGTCCATAGCACATTGCCAACCAACAAGGAGTGGAAAAGAGCGGGCGGATGACACCGGCGTGTTAATCGTGACCACTGCATCGCCACATTGTTAGGTCCCTTCACTCAAAAAGTCGGCTGTTTGGTTGCAAAGAATGCTGCAGGGCATGCACGAGTGCAAAAACCACACCAGGAGAGTACATACAGTACAATGAAACCTCTCAAGTTGAATGCTCATAAAGTGGATGTCAAGAAAAAAAAAATCTTTACAATATTATGATACGCGCCCACTTGTCGAAACATGGCATTTTGATTAATATTGCGTTTGTGGAAAATAAATGCACCCTGTTTAATCAATCTGATGGGACGGCCATTTTGCCACTTTCTGTTGACTGAAAATGACATCACGGTTGCTCAGAGCTCAGTTAACGACCAGCCACGGCTCACCTGCTTTCCGAGTTTGGTCATGGGACATGTACAAGCTGTTGCACAATCATGGGCGACAAATGCAGCCAGAACATTGAGACAACTGCACGGCGCAAATGTGCCAGAAAACTGATGCTGTGAATGATGTCCATCAAGTTCTTATATGGTGGGGGAAGGACGACTCATGCCAGGGCTCAAGTGCTTCACTCGGCACCATTGTAACCATGCCAAAAAATCGAATCACAAAAATTGAAATGGCAAAGAACAACAGTTAACTGATTTTTCCACTCGCATGACACTTAAAATGCTAAACTGTTCCTTTAAAATATACATTTAAAGTTACATAAACTGCTTTGAAACATGAGAACAAGTTGCGTTGAACTTTAGAGGTTCCACTGTACGTTGAATGTCAACTTAACCCTTATCAACAACCATCAACCAGTCACAGCAAGAGCTTTTAGTTGAAGATGCACTTATTTTTATCCAACTTGGCTGAGTATATTGAGTATGAAGACTTTCCTAAAGTGATTGTAAAAGCAGAATTAGACGCCAGTTCAGCATTTGGCTGACTTGCTTTCTATTTTACTAAAGAGTACAATCCAGCAAGTTTCTCGAATGCTTAAATATTTACCAATATGCACTCTTTGGCCTCGATCTGCAATATGTTATCAGAGTATACAGGTTTAATGTCAACAATTGCCATCCTCAGCAGTCTGTGACCGCTCAAAGTCACATTAATTATTCACTGGGCTTCAGTGACATAGGAGCCTGCGGGATGCTGTGCGTGGCCAGCTAATGCCGATTCTTCTCTTCATCTCCTCAATATTGGCGAATGGCAAGGCGACAATCATTTTGTTTTACGAGCTCATCTGATGATAAATAATTTGACAGGCTTTCCACCGCTCTCTTTTGTCACAGGCTGGACAATGCCCACTGGAAAGAGTCTCAACAACCTCCTTATGGCGGTACAATCGGTCTCAAGATGAACCCCTGCTTTATGACTTACACTGCCCTAAAAAGTTTTAAATCGGTTTTAAACCCCTCATCAAATTCAATAGTGCATCGTGTAAGGTGGAAAGTGTAAGTCGTAATGCAAGTTTAAATCAACCAGGACACAACCTCTCCGACAGGCCTATCAGAGCACAGAGTAATGCAAGTACCACGATGATCACTTTGCATTCCAGAGCTTTTTCAATGAACCAATAAAAACAATTGAAAAAATCTGACCAAATAGCTGTATTATAATGACAAAGAGGATTGAGAACTCATGCAAAGCCTGTGAAACTGTAGCAGATGACCAAAAGCAGTTCCTGTGAACCGAAGCGCAACAACTTCCCACTTGATCAATCTACATTTTACTTTAGCTACCTCAACCATCTAACAAATGTCATTTATGGTCGGATGTGTACAAATAAAGTTCTAGGTTAGTTAATGGAACAATAAAATCGAAATACTCAGTTGTCCAAGGTATCATGTTTGATACAGTCCCTGAAATTTTGAAAATCGGTTAAAAATTGTTGGGTGGTAGACCGTGGGCATGTTACGTCAGTCACTACGACAGTGTATTGCCGTAGACCACCACAAGTCATCTCTGCGGGCATCCACTCATTGTTTATAATGCTGGCTGTGCAACAATCAAGCGCTAATAATAAGGTAATCCGAAATGAAACTGATAACTGCTTTTTGAAATAACTTCGATGACGCATAAAAAATATCCCAAAAATTTAAGGAGGGGGATATAAGTCCATTTGATCACAAAGTGTTGCCCAGAAATCTCATCTATCGATGAGCCAGACTTCGAACATGTTTGCATGACTCCTCTTCCTCTTTGTGAAGTGGTTTGAAAAGATGGCAACAGAGGCATTTGTAAAATGTCAGCCGCTGCGCCACATGTTGTGCTCAATCAAGAAACGTGGATGGAGCCTCCTGCTGCGAACTGCATCCGGAGTGTTACCTCAAACAAAGTGGGATGATTGTCTATAGCCTGGGAGAGGCAAAGTGTTCCACGTGGCACAAAACAAAGGGAGGTATCAAAATAAAAATGGAGGAAATGTGAGACACTGTTTGCAACAGGCACTGAAAATAACTCGACAAAAGGTGTAAGAGAGAGCTGGAGGGGAACACCTATCGTTGGATCCCTGGTATGTGCTTGTCCACGGGAACGGGCCCATACAAAGTTGGGCAACCGTATAGGGGGCGAGGGTGGGGGGCCTCATTTGCTTAGCAAAGGCAGAGCTTCAGTAAGGGGTTAGTAAGGGAAGGTCATTCACGGATGGCCAAGGCTTTTAAATGGTTGTTACCTGGAGCTGTTAAAAAAAAAATGACAACAAAGAAAAACAACAAAATCAAACACAACATTAGAAAGGGAACAAAAAAAAGTACAGCAGCGCAGTGATATTCAACCATTTCTCACTCAACACATCTATGCATCAGTTAACAGGGAGTCTGATCATTCCCCGCATTGCCACATATTTCACTTGTTATGAAAGACATCGTTTAACTGAGGCAACTTAACAAAACAAAAAGAAACGTACATACCAGCATTTAAGGAAATAACTTAAAACGACAAAGAAATAAGCTGATATGGACACAAGTGAGATCAAATATGTGCAATGAGAGGCGGTGTGCGGCCTCTGGGGGGACTCTTACAGTTGAGGTCCATGTACCAGGCGTCATTGCCACACCGGTACTTCCAGATGGTTTGGCCCACGGAGCAGACCAATGAGATGGCCAGCAGGCAGCCAAACAGGACCAGAATTTGAAAGTTGGTGATTCGCTCCACGTTGGACAACTTTAGCGGAGGCCGAGTGGAGTTCTGACAAGGCAAGAAAATGACAACGTGTGGTTGATGTTGACAAATCATCTGATCAGTGTGTTTGGCACTGAATTAGTGTACTAATAGAAGCAAAAATAATAATAATAATAATAATAATAGTAAAAATCTTACATACAAGAGAAGCACACAAATCCTGATTAGGCACTTAAAAATCAAGATTTTAACCACCGAAATCATTAGCTTTTTCAAAATGCCTTTTCTCAATCATTTTATTATGATCAGTTAACAACATGAATAACTGTATTTATGTAAATGTAATTCTTTGAACAAAATCAAAGTGCAATTTTATATCACTGCTTAGTTCATGAAAAATTATGAATTCTATTCATCCATCCATTTTATGGACTGCTAATCCTCACTGGGGTCACCGGTGAATTGAGGTCCATTCCATCTACGTAACTTTGGTCAAGAGGTGGGACTACCTTAAAACTCAGCAATTAGTTTTCAACTGAATAAAAATTATGTGGATGATTGCCCCAGATAATGTACGATAAATGTAACCATGTTTGAACGTTAATTTAAATAAAGTACAGTGCGCAGTCCTTGCTCCAACAATACTGGTAACATGACCACACAAGGTTAGCATTTATTTACTTTGGTTCATTTTAAGGAAAGCACTTCGTGCTAATGGGACATTTGCTCTTTTACGCTTGCCCCTAGTGAGGTCACCTGTGACACTGAACACTCTCACAGCATTAGCAATGGCAGCATTATTTACCTTGGAAAACATCTTGGGATGTACATTCTGTAGATGTCTCTAAAACGTTGCCGTGTTCGTCCCACGCATGACGGTTCCACACCTTTTCTTTAGACTTTGCCCCCCGCCCCCATCGTGGAAACTGAAATGGGTCACAAATCCTCTCGTCGCTTTCTACCAGCTATGGATATTAAGCACTTTCACCATCAAATTTTTCTCATCGACTTTCTTCCCTGGAACGAGATTGAAGTTGGTGACTGGCTTCCGTTCACCTTTCCATTCGACCTCTGATTGGTTCTCTTCTTGCTTTGTCCCGTATGTTCCACTTTTCTCCTACACCCGTATAATTCCTTTCGTCTGATTGGATTTCATCACTGTGGTTTTCATTTGTCTTTTATTTGTTGACGAAATTGTCAATCAATTTAGTTATCGTTATCCTATGAATGAATGACTGGCTTAGTCTTCGTTTCATTTTCGTGTGAAAAAAAATATTTGTGGAATTTTTAGTCAACGAAATGAAATTTGCAGTCAACGCAATTATCACTGGTACCTGCATGAGTTTTGTATCATGACCCGTGTAGACCACCACACCATGGACCCATTGCGTGTTCCGCAGCTGGGCTCCTCTTAGTAAGATCTGGTCTGGACCAAGCGGCACTGTGCTGTAATGGATAAAAGATCATATGTGGATATAGTACCAAAGGTTCACATTTCCCCCGATTTCATGTATTGGTGTGCATAGTCAGGTGCTGTACTCGAGAGAAGTCACTACTTCTGAAATGATTTCAAACGACACAAAAAGGAACATGATGCTATGGAACCCTCTAGAAGCCAAATGTACTTCTGGAAATTGCTGACTCAGGAAAGCTTTTTAGTCCCTGGATAATCAAATCATAATGTCATAACATTGCATCAAGTCGCTAATAAAAATGCATTTTCCCTCGGTGACACAGCCTTTGAACAAACGAATAATTGAATTTGAGTGAACCAGGTGCCTTCAACAGACAATGCACTCTGCTTTGGGCTAATGGATCAGCAAGAGTTTCATATCTCAACAGGTGAAAAAGGATTATACAAACAGGCTGCTGTGGGCGTCTCAAACTGGACGGGTCAAATAACATGCTGCTCTTTAAGTTCCCGAACCTTTCACAAATGAGATTACCCTCATGGATGGACCTCAAAAGCTTCCGGGGAAAAATCCCGCAGTGAAAATATCGAGCTTCACAACCGAGCCCACCTGTGCCCATCCAGTCGGATGTTCCCAACAAACTCATACAGATGACGATTTGGGCACTCGCACTCCATTCTCCCTGAGAGTCGCATGAGACTGTCAATGTCCTTCAAGTCGGATGTCACTTGCAAACCCTGTTGATTTGATTTCATGTGTCACTGTTAACAACAACAACAACAACAATGACACAATAATGTATACCACAGGGATATTTACCTGTCTGATTTTTAGGTTTGTTTCACCATCTAGGTTTGATGTTTCGATGTAGCACATTCCCTGCGGCTCACTGTTGGGTAAAGGGAAAAATGACATCAAATCAGTAAATGACTGGTAAGTCAGCTACAAAATGGGCCCAGACATTAAAATGAATGAACATTATCTAATAGTGTGGAAAAGGAAGTAAAGTAGGGCTGACTTTAATAACAAACAGACATCTAGGCTACTATACTAATTTAGACAAGGGTGCTGTGCACCAGCCTACTTAAAAGTTATACAAGTGAGAAGTATTCTTTAGTTGCAGGCAGTTTGAATGACATTAAACTGCAAAGGGGCCGAGACAGAAGGAGAGAGAAAACTCCACAGTGGCGTGATGAGAGCGAGAGGGCGTGCAGAGCACAAGAAGCAGAGCAGACAAATGAGCTTCTGACAGATTTTGGGCACAGGGAGAGTGGTAGAGCATGCCAGGACACTGTTAGAAAATCTTTGTGAGCAGTTCTTTGTTTTCAAGAGGGTCGGTCCAAATTTGGGAAGGACAGGCATCAAGAAAAAGCAAGACCTGGGTTTTGCTGCTCCTTATCTTAACCATCATATATGCAATGGCAGCTTCTTTGAAAAAATACGATTGTGTTTACACAAGTGTCTTGCCAAGTACAAATTTAATTTACACTCAAGTTCAATTTGATCCAGCCAATGATGACATTAGATGGTTACCATCCCAGGAATAAAAATAAGAAGGATGGAAAAATAATTCATCAACTTTCTAAGGCACTTAAGGTCACCAGTGAGCTGGAGCTTGCACTAGCTGACTTTGGGTAAGAGAGACCCTCAGCTGGTTGCACTCTGAGATTTTTGGGTTTTTTTCTCACTGACAGTATCGTTACACCAAGGACAATTTAGAGTCAAAGGGGGAAATAAAACAAATATATAAATCAATACATAGAGTTAGTCGAGTCAAGAATTCCAGTGAGCGCCTTAATGGCATTGGTTGCACGCTGCCTACCTGTTAAAGACTCCCTGTTCATCTTTGTCATTGTCAACTGTGACCTCTCAACGTTTTTTATGTTTCTTTTCCTTCTTAGAGTGATGTGTATATTTTGTATGTACGGTATGTCAATGAACTGAATGATAAAATGACAAACAGCAGTTAGAAATGCTTACTTTTCTTTATATTTTACTTCCGTATTCTGCATTGCCAGAGAGGACTTAAGTATGGCGGCCCTAAAGGGTGGAAAAGGCTCAATACTCGATAGGAGAGAGACCAAATCTAAATGTCCACAGGATAGGGGGTGGAAGGCATTGACCTGTTCGAGCTATCAGCAGCCCACACTACATTTATGAGTACAGTACACAATGGTGTACTGTATGTCTCCATTGCCAGAAATAGAGATTACCAAAGAAAAAAAAACGTTTTGGCATCCTCAGAGCAAACCATATATTGACTGTTTTAACAAAAGTGAAAAGACCCAATGTCTTTTCACAGCTCAGCACTTTCAGGCCCGAGAATATTATCAACAATTCTCTAGTTGCAATGAAAGCGGCTACTGTCAAAATATGAAATCAAATTTGACTTTGAATTCATCTCAAAAGGCAGAAAATAGTGAATATTATTCCAAGATATGGTTGATATTTCATTCTTGGAACGTGGCATCATGCAAATATGGCGGGAAATGTTTGTGTTGGCCGGCCATATGAGCCATGCAATAGTTTAACAAGAAAAAAAAAAAAAGAAAAAGCGAACATGCAACATCTGGAAGGTAATCAGAAGCTCCCCTCAAGCATGCAAACGAGCTTCTGAAACCAGCTTCTAAATGTCTGGCCCCATCTTTGCAACAGCAGTTGCCTTGGTCACGTCTCTGGTTTTCCTGACCTGGACGACAGTATGACGAGGTCAGCTGGGAGGTGATCGCCGTTGGCAGCTTTGACCACTTCCCCAACAGTCACCTGATGTTAGCGAGCGCACGCCAGTGGCAGGAAAGAGGGCGGAAGAGAAAGGGTGGTGGTAAAGGAAAGGATGGAAAGACAAAGAGCAAACAGATGAGAGGAGAAAGGTAAAGTGTTTTTCTGTCCTGAGGGCCCTGCATCTGCTTTCTCTTAAAAAGGGCAAGGAGCTAATCTTATGAAATCACATTACTGTTGTCTCACCTAGAGAAATGATGGTATCAAGTTACAAATCTTTGCTGTTAAGCCTGTACCTCACAAAGCGGCAACATTTTGCAAGTGTGTGCGCACGGAGCGAATGTTGTTTTTTTGTTGTCCGGGTTCGTGCAAACGGTCGCAATGATGGTCGGCAACAATTATAATGGTCTCAAACTGTTATTCTTGTCGCAAAGAAATTGTGAATGTGTTCCAAAACTGTTTGTAACATTGAACGAATCATGACAAAAAAAAAAAAAAAACAACCGCAACCACAACAGCAGCAGCACTCGCCATGTGCACACACTTGCAAACCTTCACCGCTCAATGAGATATGGGTTTAAGGATGTGTGACTGTTGAAATGTAGCCGCAGTTTGAACCAAAAGACAGGGTGCTAATTCTATGCTGGTAAACCATCAGATCTTTAGGCTGAAGATAAGAGTTTAAATGCAGCACGGACAGAGGATGGAGACGATCCCTAGTGGGTGGTCGTAGGAGTGGACTCTTGATACCTGCATGATAAAACCACAGCGTCTGCAGGCACGAAATCACCTGCATTTACTTTAATAACATCGGCCATCTCAACCTGTGAAAACAGACTGGTCATTGTGGTGCACACAATGGAGAGAAGGACTGTGACCGCGTTATACATTGATGAATAGAAATACAGTCAATGACATGATTCAAGACTTGAAAAAGCACCACATTTTCTATTCAGCAGAAAATGAAACTATAATACCAGAAATCAATCAGCTACGGGCAAGGAGTAAAATCTGACAAGGATAACCCATACGGTGAGAAAAAGGCAAATAATTTGGGAACTGCATGGAAATTAGTTGATTTCACAGCAGTGCATGAATAAGATGTAATCAGCATAGAAATTTGAAATCACATAGCACTCGTAAATGGTTTTCTTATGTTTTCTGCTACATGAGTAAATAAAGAATCATATATTGGAATATAAACATTCCAAAACTGATTTAAAAAAAAGAGAAATATGGCATTGATCTGCTCCATGCACTGTGTAACTAGTAATGTGTTATTACAAATAAAGTCCTTAAAAACACTGATCGTCCTTATATATTTTTTGTAATGGCTTTTTGTTGCAGGAACACATAAAACAACTACAGACTCTTTGCTCTACTTTGCCTTTGACGACAGATCGAATAAAATCATTGGATTCATTAGCTGCTGTGCATTGTGTGAGCATTTGCTTATGTTCCCCACTCAACAGCAAAACCAGCGTGACTAAGAATGTGTTTGCTTCTTAGGAATTGGACTGAAAGGCACCAGTTAATATTATTTATTACGTACCTTCTCCCAATGCACAATTTCCCAGGCGCCATTTCGTAACACTGATACATGAAAAGGAAGGAGAACAGCAAGAGACAGAAAGAGGAAGTCAAAATGAGTTGACATATTTAAACTGTTGCCTGACAAAAAGAGCATCAGTGCAATGTTTTTTGTACCTTGACATTCCTTTTTGTTGACAACACTGTCAGCATTGTGACGTTTCTAGAATGAAAGAAGAAAATGAAATGCTGATGATGCAAATAGAGGATTACAAGATAAATCATATTTGGATGACAAGAGCATTAGACTGCTCTGAGAGGTTCAAAAGAGGGGAGGTGAGTTAATGCAACGTGGTGCCTCACTGCACTCATTCAACACCCACAATCACAACCCAAACATTGCAATATTATACAATGTCGCAACTTATCTAGTTAGGCATTTGCTAACATTGTCATATATTGTGTGATGTGACAGAATCACTATTCTGTGGAAGCTTAACATATACCGACCACTTCCTTCCAATTTCATGAGATACAAAAGCCAAGCAAAAGCTGGACCAAAACTGTCTTTAACAAACATTACAATGATGTGACACGCATGAGGGATTAGATGTGACATAAAATATGTGTATTATGGTGGTTGTAATTTTCACTGATGCCGAACTTTTTTGTATCATATTGATTATGAAATCATCACGCTCTAGCCGTACTGGGGGAGAGGGTGTATTTACTTATTTTAATTCCTATTTCGCAAATAACTAAATAAATGTTAATTTACTTAGACGGCCATTGATTAGAATATTACTGGCAGGCCGTCACTGCCAGCCATGCCCGACAAAGACTGCGACTGCACACAATAGGCTTTGACAGTTACCAAAGCTAATGAATGTGGTTAAATCATCTTCCCAAACTCTCTTTCAAAGGTCCAGTAGCCATAAGTGATTCAAGAAAAAAAATAAAAAATGAGCTGACTAAACTGTAGTATGTAAAAGGTGGATATTAATCTGTAATTGTGCACACAAACTTTGTGACTGACGGGCTACCATCTGCACCACAAAAATTGCAGCAATCAATCGTTAAGAAACATCCCTAGTCCAATGTATCAAAAACAAACTACTGTATTTTCACTCTTTATTGTCTATCAAGGATTTCATACTCGCTGCAACTTTTAATCTTGATTGTCAAAATGCAGTGAGGCTCCCACGGAGTGAGTTACTAAACTTCTCAAATGGTTGAAGGGTCCAATCGAGTTAAAATATTTGCTCTCAGGATATTTTCCACACTTTGCATTGGTTAACAATTTGTTAAAAATAGCAGACCACATGAGGACTGACGAATAATCTGTATTTGTGAAAAAATACGAAATTGACGAAATTTGGACATAAGAGATTTCTACCCGACAGTGACGATATCCATACTCTCTCAAAATTACAGTACGTTTGTTACCTTCACCAAACAAAAATGTGTGAGGAGTTTGGAGGAGGAGTGTGGTTTGTTGCTCATGAGAACAAAAAAAAAAAAACATGTTGTCAATAGGTGGAGCCTTGAAGAAAATCGGTCCAGATCTGCACATACTGGGACCGGTGGTGGTGGGGCAGGGACTCAGTACAGCCAGCAGAGGGAATTGTGATGCAAAAACCATGTCATGAGTGGTAGTACCTACCTACAGTAATGGAGTGGAACAGTATCACTCAATCAAGCAATTATTTCTATGGCATGAACTTCTAAAACAAGTCAGACAGGCCTGGTGGAGGTTTTCTATTTCAAAGACTTACTCCAGGATGGTTGTGTGTCTGAATGCAAATCAGCACTATTATTTGCCCTTGCGTCCTACTGGACAGTCACACCGTCAACAGTGCTGATGTTTAAAGTCTTGTCAAGTGGCATCCAGCAACAGCAATGTGTGCTGGCCCTGATAAGAGAGGTGTGGACGTATCCTCTCACGACCCCCACAAGATGAAATGTTTACATTCTTTTAGCTTGCTCCAATTTACTCCAGTACTAATCCAATTAAAGGCTAATTAGTGCATTCCCGTGCACTCGCTTTTAGGGCTCCGGTCGGATCACTTTGTGCATCTCGGCAACGCACTCTTGTGTGTAATGAAAAGGCGGGCAGTGTCGCACGGCTTCAACCTTGCGCCTGCTGCAGAGACACCGGGAAAAGTTTTCAGCGCTACACGAAGGCTCATCCATCATCTCGTGTGCAAGAGCTGTCGGCTAATTTCATTCGACCATTTTTCTTCCAGCTGCTGACGCAAACCAGACATGTCAGATCAGAGCTGCATTTATATCCCATACCTTTTTACTTGTCAGCACTCGAAAATACCACACCCCATGGAAGGAAAACAACAATGAAAACAAAAACGCAGGAAACGAACCGGCACTTCCTGTATTTATTCTGTTGCTGTTGGCTGAAATGAGGAAACTAATTTTATCTGAGATGAGACGAGGTGGCAAAAACGCAGCGCTGCAGCAAAGTGGAGACTGCGGGATATAATACTGCAGTGTCCAGAGAGCAAAACAATGAGATAAAAAAATGTTAACGGGGGTTTATTTTTGCAATTTCTAGACACACTTCATCAAATGTCGACCCACAAGGTATCGGCTCTGCTGCCTAGGAACCCCGACTGATCAAGTACTAGAAATAGTTTCTGGGAGTGCCTAGTTTTGCTGGTGGATCAATTGTCAATAATTTGTAGTGACATAGTGAGCTGACTTGGTACCACGGCATACATTTGTCACTTGTCACTTTGAAGCCAAAGGAACAAATATTTCTTCTACATCAAAATAGCAAATCAAGACCTGAACTCTTTCGATCTGACAGTTCTCCAAATTAAAATGGGTTTTCCACATTTCATGCATTTTTCAAACAATATTTTTTTTTTTGTCCTAAATCGGTGAATTATTATCTGACCACCCCTGAAGAATGCTAACCCAACCATTTTAAACATCATCTCAGTTGTCAATCTGTCAAGATTTGGCTGTTGGCTGGCTCCAGAAATGGAAAAAGAAATGCTTGTTAATTCTTGGATTGAATATGTCCTGTTCCAGGAAGCAAGAATGGTCAATTTTTCATCAGAACTGCAGTGCAAAAATGCTCGCAATGTGGTAATGGGTTTCTCTCATACATATATATACGTGTGTGTCTGTGTGTGTGTGTGTGTGTGTGTGTGTGTGTGTGTGTGTGTGTGTGTGTGTGTGTTACATTACTCTATGTCTGCCGATTCGAATGTCATAAACATACAGGGAGGTGGCCAAAAGATGCCTAATTCAAACTAAACTG